TATATATATATATATATATATATATATATATATATATATATATATATATATGACTATTAGTCTTAATACGGATCGCGCATATTAGCATTAACGAAGAACTATTAAAGACATTCAGCTTTACGGGAATTAGCATAACTTGAAAAGTTTACTATACATTAAGATTTTCTTCAAAAATATTAAAAGAAAATAATGGCTTCTAGATAAACTCTTACCGACAACTGTCGGATCGATATGTGTCGTTGCGCAGCTTTCAAGACTGGAACTGTATTTCATATACGTTTACTGACTATACATATCCAGTAAACACAAAGTAACATCGATGTTACAATGTCAATGTTAATAACGAAATAATAGTTACATAATATACCATATGATTGAGCTGACATTGTAATGTCATTGTAGTGTATGGATGATACTTTGTGTTTACTGGGTATATTATATATCTTACTTTAAAATGAATTGATATCATATGATCAATGTCATTTCTCTCTGTTAGTTATTGAAGTCATTATTTTCATGTTAAATTCAATAATTATGTTAATTAAAAATTCCTTTAACGATTCAATTCGAAATTAAAATCTGAGATTCGATTTGATATTAAAAATCTTTGATTTGCACATCTCTAACTTTCAGTAGGATTTTGTTTATAAATTTTACGAATAAATATAACTATAATAAAATTAAACGTATAGAAAATTTGTCTATTATATTTTTATATAAATAAATGAATATATCTATTCAATTTTCACGTTATTATATAAATTGGTAACTTTATAATATACCAGAAATAATGGATAATGAGAAGATTAGCAAGATCCCTGTACAAAAATCAAAAGAGAAAATATCATTACATGTCGCTGTACGTGAACAGATAATATGAAGAATAGAGACAACCATCTAAACAGCACAATCTATTAAAAAATATCTTAAATATTATCATGTCTTATACATTCAAAAGACGTCTTTAAGATATCCAAAAGATATCTTTAAGATATTACCTAAAGACGTTTTATAGATGTCTCATTTCAGATGTCTTATTTGAGACGTCTCAAAGACGTCTTCTGATATCTTTTAGATATCTTTTCTAAGATATATCTTTTAGTAAGGTGACTTACTAAAGATTTCCCAACCCTGAATTCGGGGCACTTCATAAATGTGTGAAACGGGGGGTGAGAGGAGGGGGGTTAAAAGATCCGAAAATTATTTGACAATAGTATGTATACAGGGTATCTGACTCGTACTGTGCCAGCTAATATATAGCTAGAATAGGTCGGGGTGAGTAATAGAATCGGTGTCTTTTCTTAAACAACCACGTAAAATTTTGAGATATTAATGATAAAAGATCTCTACCGAGATAATTTATCGTTAATAATTTATTTTTACCGGCATATTTTTTACCGACATATTTATTTATTAACATAATTTATTTTTACCGACATATTTTTTAACATAATTTTTTACCAATGTAATCTTTACTGACATAATTGATCATTTTTATCGACCGCGCGATCCTCCCTCTTTGAATTTTCAGCGACTTCTTCGCGCTTGCGGTGATTCACCTTCTAGAATACTCTAGAATATTCTAGAATGTTGGAGATCTTTTGAGGAGGACAAATCTTTTTAGGTAGTAGAGTTTATCTTTCGAAACTATGCAGTCCCCGAAGTAGGTATTATATAGGGGTTCTAACCCATGGTCCTCCGAGGGGGGGTGAGGGGCGGGGGGTACCGCGGGCGAGGGGGG